GACACCTTATAGTTTGTAGCTTTAATAATTGGTACCCTATAGTTTGTAGTTTTCATAATTGGCTCCCCCAGTAGTTTGTAACTTTGATAAAATTGGCTCCCCAATAGTTGGTAGTTTTAACACACAAATCCTGAAAGGAACAACAATTAATGTATTATCCCTAATTTACACACTAACCATAATTTAACTTATTTTGACTAGTTTAACTTTATTTAACTAACACAATTGACCTATTAACTTAATTAAATTATGCTTTAATTAGGGATAATTAGTAGTGGTGGCGGCAACGGTTGGTAGTAGTGGTGAGTTTTGGGTAGTAGTGGTTGGTGACGATAGTAGGTAATGGTTGGTGGTAGGCTAGTTTTTCATTATTTTGGGTGGTGAATGGTGTTAGTTGGTGGCGATAGTCGGTGAGTTTTTTACTGTTTTGGATAATGGGTTATTTTTTTTTATTATTTTGGGTGGTAAGTGATGGTGATTGGCGACAATAGGTGGTGGTGGTGGTGGCGGCGACGACGATTGGTGGGTAATGGTGAGTTTTGGATATTAGTGGTTGGCAACGATGGTGGGTAGTGGATGGTGGTAGGCTAGTTTTTCATTGTTTTTGGTGGTGAGTGGTGTTGGTTGGCGGCGATACTGAGAGGTGGTGATTGGCAACAATGGTGGATGATGATTGGGAATGAGTGGTGTTGGGTGTGGGTGGGGTGCCAGGGTAGTGGTGGTGGTGGTTGGATCGTAGTGGTGGATGACGGCGATGGTAAATGATGGTAGACTAGTTTTTCACTATTTTGGGTAGTGGTTGGTTGGTGGCGGGTGATGGTTGGTGGATAGCAACGAGTGGTGGTGGGCGACGGTGACGGTGGTGGTAGTTGTTGTGGTAGTAGCAGTGATGATGGTGGTGGTTGTTGATGGTGGTAAGTTAGTTATTCACTATTTTTGGTGGTGAGTGATGATGGTTGGCGGCGATTGTAGGTGATGGTTAGTGGTGACGAGTGGCAATGGGTGGTGGTTAGCAGCGATGGGTGATAGTGGTGGTTGGCGGGTTACAGTGGATGACGAGTGGTGGTTGTTGGTCAACCGAAGTGGTGATGGTGGGTGGCAATGCGTGGTTGCTGGGTGACGGTGGGTGGTGGTGGTTGGCAGGTGACTATGGGTGATTGGTGGTAATTGATGGCAATGGTGGGTGGTGGTGGGTGGTGGCGGCGATGGTGGGTGATACTGGTGGATGTTAATGGGTGGTGGTGGCGATGGGTGGTGGGTGTTAGTGGGTAGGAGTTGTGGGTGGGGTATAGTGGTGATGGGTGGTGGTGGTTTATGGCGATGGTGGGGTTGGTGGTGGTTGGCAGCAGGTGGTGGTGATGGTTGGTGGTTTACGACGATGGTGGGTGTTAAGAGGTTTCTTTTTCTTCTTACTTCATGCAGTATAAAGATGACTTAGCTTTAAATAAAAAGGCATGAAAATACCCATTTTCACAATATGTGGTTCAAATCAAAATGGTTGAATTTATCATAGAAGCTGAAGAACTACTAAAACAACGTGAAACCCTTTTTCCTATACTAGACAACAGGAAACAAATGATTTTTTCATTTTTAACTTCTTCCTGTTCCCTTTGATTTTTTTCAAGAATGAGAGACTAAAGGAGGACTTCAATAAATGCCATAATAACATGAGTTCTACTCAGACCCCTGTTCAGGCCTCTCGAATGTATGAGTTTGTATGGTTTAAAATTGAATCGTTGAAATTATACAATTAGGCCTAATGAGTACCTTGGTAGTTATTACTACCATTGGCTTTCTTGAAATGAGAGATTGAAATAAGGAGGTTGCGGGTTTTGTACTCATATTTGTAAGTGAATGTAAATAATATCTAATATACAAAAAATTCAGGTATTATAGGATTTGAGATGGGTCAGTGGTAGACAACTTCACCTCCTCTTGAAGAGACTAATTCTGAACTTAAATATCTGACTTTTGTGTATATTGCAAATTCACGTTTAGCTGAAAGTTTCAGCAAAGTTGATGGAAGCTACATGCTGGAGGGGGACCAAACCTAAGGTGAATCAGTTGTATTTCAATTTGCAAATGTAAGGAAAATGATTGTGTCCTTGGTGATTATTATCAATAGAATGTGGTATCTCATTTGACATATACATCAATCTACTAGAAAATTTACAGGGGAAACCAATCATTTGTTTTCCCTCTGGCTTAAAGTCCTCCTTTGATTAAGAGTTTAATTTGGGCGGTTCAACTCGAATTCAACCTGAGTTTAACTTGAAAAAAACAGAGTTTACGTTATAATTTTTAATACTAGGGTTGGGTTTAGGCATAAAAATTTCAACTCGAATTGAATTTGAGCAAGTCTCGGGTTGAGACTTGGGTTGTCGGGTTCAACTCGAATATTAAAATCGGATTGAACTCAATTATTAAATCGGATTGAACCCGAATATACATAAATATATAAATATATTTAACTAGAGTTAGTATTGTTAGAATATTGTAACTAAAAGAGTGTTTTTTGTGTGTGAGAACTTAATCTCATATCGACTAAATATCCAAAGTACTTGAGTATATATATATACTAGTGTTATCTAGCCTTTAAATTGAAGAAAGATCTTGAGACTCTCAAGTGCGTAGGGTGGGACTAGTATTAAACCCATTTTTTAATATTTTGTTTAATTATTTTCTGTCATTACTTCTATATTAAAATTTCAGTTGTTGAATTCAAAAACCTTCAACGGCTAATATTCCAACAGCCATATTTTATTAGTTATTATACAATTAAATATAGAAGTAATTACAGCCTATTAAACACATATATTATTTGTATATATATGTATGCATTTTCAGTATAGAGATATACAATATCATATCAACTATCTTCTTACAATATAAGTTTCTAGGCAATATTCAAAGGTGTGTGTAAAGCTTCTAGTTTATTCTATTGTGCAGATCTGAGTGAAGTAACAACCAATAGACTGGACTGTTGTATTCTGGGGATGACGTGTTACTATCTTCTGCGCTGTGATTCTTTTATAAAGGGGCACGAATCGTCTTAAGAGAGCGACCTAGTCCGCGTCTCACCCTGCCGTTCACTTTATTTGTATCCAATATTTTCCAACAAGTATTTATCTTCACTCTTTACAGTTTAAACTTTCACTTAACTTCAAGTCTTCACCCCTGTGCCTCCATCAACCTGAGATCCCTCTCTCACTTTTCACTCCTCCCTCTTTCAATTGTCACTCATCTGAGTCGTTTTAGACTCTCAGTCTCCCTCTTTTACTCATCACTCCTCACTCTCTATTTATCTGCATCTCATCCTTCATCTCAGATCACTTGAAAAAATTAGATTTACACTCGAAAAAATTAATTCTACACTTCAAAAAATCAACCCGAATTAAGTAACTCAAGCCAACTCGAGCCTGTCCAAATTAAGCTCGGGACAGTACTCGGGTTGAGGTAGGATTAGAATTGAAGATTATATCCCTAAGATTAGACTAAGATTGACTTCTCAACCCTCCCAAATTGCACCCCAATCTTTTATTAACTTCTCCAATAAAATTTAAAAAATTACCACGAAAGTATGAGACTTAATTGCAAAATATATTTACCAAAGAAACATAATATTTTTCCCCAAGATAATTTCAGGTATTGGGAGGTTTAGCCTTTATATTTTTCTTTTTCTATGTCGGCATGCAAGCTAAGGAACATATGCCATAAAGCAAAGTGATAGATCGGCAGATGCAAATAGGGGCATTGGTAAACCAACGGTCATTTCTTCGATCGCTGTTTCCCATCGAACTGGCATTAGCCTTTCTACGAGCATCTATATGTAGTAAAAAAAACTTTTGAAAACTAACAAATTATGAGGCGACAGAGAACTCACTCCCATGTGTGAGACCACTTAAAATGATGGATTCGGAAAGTTTCAAAATTTCTGATGCAAGACAAGTTGAATCATTCTTTTCAATCAGATTAGAGGGGAATGGAACGGTTTTTTATGTGACAAAGTCATAAATCGCAGAATAGAAAGCAACTACCGAAGACCATATACATTTCAATTCTACTATTAATCAGTAATCCTTGAAAATGAACAATAAACAGTACATTAACTGTACTATTCCCTCAAAGCTAATAATAACATGGAATGCTTCGTCTGTTTGTAAATTCTCTCATCCTGTTGTTGAAGGGTCTTGTCAATAAGGATGTCTGTTCATTTCAGAGTTGGTATTAGAGGTAACATACATAATAAGTTATGTATTTTTCCATGACTTAATTCCCCGGCCTTATATATCTTTAATGTTACGCACGAGATTATAAACAGATTACAAAATCAAATAGAAAGAACATAGATCACGTAAAAATTAAGCGATTTCACTTTAAAGTCTAAGTTCACATACAAAACTAAAAACAACGAAAGTCATTGTCATAAATAAGACTACAAACCGTTCTCTAAAAGAAAAGCAAGAAAATAAATACCCATCCATTTTCCCAAAAACCCATAGTTTTTGTTATTAGCTCAGCACTGTGCTCCATAGATAGGGCTTATGAAATTTCTCAATAAAGATCCAAAGGTTTTATGTTGGAGGGGGTGCAAATAGGAACTTAATAGAGGACATCCAGAAGACTTATTTAAGTGAAAGATTTTCTCTTCAACTGAAAAATTAACAAAGATGTCCTGAGAAGTATTTCCCAATAAATAAAAGAATAATGCTACTTGTACCTATTTGTAGGAGTTAATGAATTGAAATCATTGGTTTGTTAGTGGACTTCATTGAATACGGGAACCCACCGCCAATCCATCGGTCACGATAAATTGAGTCCCTAAATTAAGTTTCACAAAAGAGTAAAGAGAAGAATATATGAAACCTTTAACTGATCTTATCATACAGGTGGCCTCTCAATTTGAAGATTCAAGTTGGTGGTTTTGATGCTGGTACAACTAGAAAGCAAGAGCATTGTGATGTTAAGAAGGAATATCTTCCATTTGAATATTAGAATTACAAGAGTGTTAACCAACAATCCTGGTTGGAGGCCCTATCATTCCTAAACCATAGAACCTCCATGAAAAGCCACTGACAAACACAAATTTGAAAGAAAAAAAATAATAAAAGAAAAAAAGACGTCCATCTCTGCAAAGTTTGGAAATGTCATATGTTATGTGTACTATTCCCGGGATTTTATCCGGTGACGTCCAGGTCATAAGTAACAACATTACTACGCCAAAGGTATTTAGTTAATTACACAAATGTAAACCACAAACTTTAACACAATTCAAGAGAAAGATACTAATAACAGTGCCTAAGACAAATGGTATCATTTTAGACAAGGGAATCTATGTTCTTGCTCAGCTCCTCCAGCTTCTTCATCCTTACTTTCTCACTTTCGCTCACCAACTGGCCAATTAATCATACATATTAAGAACAACATAAGCAAACTGGAATCAAATATACACACACACACATGTACATATATATATGGTGGATGAGTTTTAAGTTGGACCAAAAGATCACTAAAGTTACCTCCATCAATCTGGTTAGCAGTTGAGTTTTTTCCTTGTTCTTCTCATTCAAAGCTTCAAGGGCTTCTTTGTATTCCTTTTCCTATTCAAATAAACAAACATTAGGATCAAACAAATTTCTTACAAGCGAAGTTAAGTTCACCAAAGTTTTTATACTGTTTCACCTTCTTCTGGCAGGTCTGTCCCAATGGCTTTAACTCTCGATTGACCACATCGATCTTCTTTCGTACAATTGAAACTTCCTTCCTCATTGGATCTGCAAGAGCTTCAAGCTCCTAATAAAATTCAATCACACACAATAAGAAGTGTAAATTATATATACACATAATGAACAATTTTATATTCAATCTTATTATGTGCAATTGTTGTGTATGTTAAAGCAAGACATATCCAAAAGTGATCTTTCATTGTTCCAACATTAATGATCTGATAGTTTGTCGAGTGATTATAGAAAAGAAAGAACTTCCAATTTGTACTGATGGTTAAGGTTGTCAAAAGCCATGCTGTGTTTTTAACTTGTGGGTCGTGTCATTCCAACATTTATTGAACTTATACACAACACATTTATATTGTTCAACTTTACCTCGCGAATCTCAGCCAACTTCTTGGTTTCTTCTTCCACGCGGCCCAACTGAGCCTGAACCTTGTCCCTGACTTCCATCTTCTTCCTCTCGATCTCTTCTTCCTTAGCCCGAAACACAGAAAGAGCTGACTTTGTCATCTCCTCCTCCTTGTCTTCATTCATTGGGCTGTCACTGAAACTAATAATTCCTGATTTCTTCATGCGCAGCATCTGTGATTGTTGCTGCTCCGGTATCTGCATCTGTGTTTCCATTGATGCTTCCACAGAACCCTTCTTGTATTCCTGGTGATTCTCTGTTATATTCTCCCTTCTTTGGCTTTGTGCTTTTAATGATGGTTTCTCTTTCCTCTGTTACAGATGCTAATGAACAAAAACTAGCTTTAAAGGTATGAAACCAACTGGCTTTCTTTGTAACAAATATTTGAGTCAGATGAAAAGACCAAAATGCCTACTCATGGTATTATGCAAAAGTTAAGGGAGTGTTACCCTTTAATTTACTGTACATTTACCCTGCCTAAAACCAGGGTCGGCTCAATGGAATTTGGGGCTTAAGCAAAAACTTTAAGTGGGGCGTTTACAAACTCATTATAAATATATGTGCTATTTTATGGCTATACTATTTTTTTAATCAAATACTTTTATGGCTATTCTTTTTTTCAATGCATTTTGAACTTACAATGAGACAAAATATATATATATAGAGAGAGAGAGAGAGGGAGAGAGAGGGGGCAGGATTTGATTATGTAAATGTATTTATATGTGGCTTAATTATGGAGAGTGATTGGATTGACAATAAATGAAGAGAGCGGGTGTGATCCTTTAAGTTAGTGACGTTAAGTTGGTGAGAGCGTGTAAAATTTAAAAAAGATGAGAGAGAATCAAATTTTGTATTTTTTTAGGTCCTTATTTTATAATTAGTTATTGTATGTGCTTGAAGGTACAGAGTAATAAAAAATAGTAAACAATAAATATATTTGTATTTATATCCAAAATTAAATCACAAAATAGAGAAGAGATAAAGAAATTTAAACATCGATTTATAGTGAAGGTAAGCGATGGTAGATAGCAGTAGTGATGGTAAGAGACGGTGATGGTTGTGATGGATGACAATGACGGTGGTGACATCGGCGGTGATGATGGTGGTGGTGGTGGTGATGGGGAGTGGGGGTGGGGGTGGCGGTGGCGGTGGCGGTGGTTGCGACAGCAATGACGGTGATGGTGGCAACGGCGACAATAGTGGTGGTAGTGGTGGTAGCGATGGTAGTGGTGGTGGCGATGGCGGTGGTGGTGGCAATGGGAGTGGGAGTGGGAGTGATAGAGATAGTGGTGGAGTAGTTTCAAATACTAATTTTTTTTAAAGTATTTATGAGTAATAATTTCTAAAAGTACTTTTAAAAAATCATTCGAAACACACCCTTATGGACCTATTTTTTTTATTAAATTTAAGGTGTTAATATTAGTCATTAGATTAATTTTAAAGTAAAATTTAAAACGATCTCAACCACAAATAGCAAAAATTATTTTATTTATCTTTTGAAATTTGAATTATAAACTACTTTATTATATAGATATTATTGAGGCAGAGTAACTTATATTATAAAGACTAAAAATATAATTTGGGGCCCCTTAATTTTTGGGCCATGAGCAAACATTTTCGCTTACTTATAGTTTCAGCTGGCCCTACCTAAACAAACTCCTCTCGGACATTTTCAAGTCGTAAAGGTCATTGCTAATACTAGGCCTAGTAATCGTGTCGAGTGAAATGGTTTCATATCGGGTGAAACGGGTTTGTATCAAATTTTTTTTTATCCATATCTTATTTGTTTATATAAACGAGTTCAACTATCACATTTATATACGAATCATTTATTAAACGGGTTACCCGATATAACATCTGTGTCACCCGCTAAATAAGAGAATAGATTAGAGTAATTCGAGTACACACGAAAAATCATCAACTTGCTACACATTTCACATGTTTGACTTATTTACCATAATAATAAATCATGGTTGATCAAAAAAATAAAGACAAAAAATAAACATTAAATGACTACTAAATTTGAATGAGTCTAATAGATGAGAGGTGTAAGATAAGGTAGAGGTTGAGAGACCTAACTTTTAAAAAAAAAAATTATAATACAACTGTTAATGGGTTAAACGGATTGAAGCGAATTTATGGGTAAAACACGAAACCGGTTCATTTATTTTACAGGTCTGATGAGTTAACCCGTTAACCACCCGAACCCGTTAAGACTACAACCAAACCCGCTAAATCCGTGTCGAATTCATGTCGATTTTACAAGTCGTGTCTAGAATTGTCAGGCCTAGCTAATAGACAAGGCTCCTATCTACATGGGTTTTGAGAAAGATAAATGGTAACATTACTCCCATTATAAAGAAGTTGATTCTCATGCTCAAAATTGTCTTGAATGGATAAACACTTATCGATCACTCCAAATCTGATCTCTACTTTAAGAACACCTTCACAATTTCCCAATTTAACCCATTCTTAACATACTTTTTTCTTTTTAGAATTAATTTTAAGAAAATATGATGAAGGGCCTAGAGGAGCCTCTTTTGGTAAGATAACTATTTTCTTAAGTAGGTATATTGGCAGATTCAACTAACTACTGCTGTTCTTCTCAATTGGAAACTGTCAGTATATTTACCTATAGTGCCAAAGTATAGTTTGGTGAATGTGACACATTCCAAAGCCCCTTTTTAACTTGTAGAAAACTTTCAAACATTGAGAAAGTTTGAGTTCAAAAATCTTCTCCCAGTCTTAAAAGGTCATATCCAGTGCACAAGTTCTTTATCTATAATAAAATTTGAAAAAATTAAGTATTGATATTCTTACTGTCAGTTTTAAAAAACAGATTGGTACCCACGATATATCGCTCGAGTGTATATCATAATATGCATTATATTGGGGTGACAACTTTTATCCATTTTTCGATATAGTATCTTGTTCTCAACATTTCTTCATATGATGGTATGATGGATATTGATAACATTTGTTGGGAGGTCCTAAAACTTGGTGGTAAATCTTCTTTGTTCTTGAAAAGGGGTGCTTGATATAGAAGTTATGTTGAGGAGTGGACAGTAAGGGCTCACCTATACAAAAATAAACCAGAGGCTTTGGGGCCAAGACAGAGTAGGAGAGATGTGTAATTACTAGCTGCCTTTATCACATATGATTACAGATTACCCATCCACCTTGGGCTTTTAACAAAGAATCTGCACCTTTTTCGTCTTTTCATTTTTATATCTATTACTATATTTTAAAATTATATCATATCAGTGACGTGTTATAGAAAGTTTTATAGTAGAGAGAGAGAGAGAGAGAGAGAGAGAGAGAGAGAGAGAGGAGCCCTATTAAAGTACACCTTGACAAGGCATTCTTTAGAAAATAAAACACTTGAACAGAGAGGATGACATATAACCAACACTTAGGAAAGGGGAAAAAATGGCCTATATGTTAGGTAGATTAGGTTAGATTAGATTCTTGTTGCAACTTTTTTTTTTTGTAACAAATGAAGACCCGAATTCAAGAATTTAGCCAAGGGGTCAAAAGCATATGGGAGGGCGACTTTTTAAATTTGTAAGAGATGATTTGGAGGTATTTGTAACTAATAATAATATACTAAAAGTGATTTCTAAACCTTTGGAGGGGGACGATTGTCCACACTAGCCTCTCTTAGATCCATCATTTTGTGCATCGGTTTCAAAATTTTTTGCTTACCCTGGACGAATAACCTGTCTTGTTAATTCTATGATTAAGGATTGTATGATGAATTTTTGGTAGGCCTACTTTGATTTTCTATACAGCATATCATTCAAGATTTGTAAGTAAAAGAGTTATGTGTAAAAGTGGAAGGTTATATAGCTGAGATGCCATCGTATAAATATGGTGCATCTATTATTCCTTGGACAATTTTTGTCGTTCTTTTTCTTTAGTTGGTCCAAAAGGGTTGTGTGACTGTCTGCTCTTTTTGATGGAACCTCGGCCTTTGTGGGCCTATGGCCATTCACTCCAGCAAAATCTTCATCTTTTCCTCTCTCTCTCTCTCTCTCTCACACACACACACACACCCACCCACCCACAGAGACACACACAGAGAACAGTCACACTGACATGGCAAAGAGTGGTGGTGAGATGGTTGCTTTAAAGTTTGTGTTATAGTGATAAATGATTTTGATGACTGGGTGTAGAAATTGATTCATCAATTGTCTATATAAAGGATCTCGGGGAACAGTGGCATATACCATTCTTTACAACCTGTTGTAGCTGCCCTATTGTCCAATGACTCCAATCTATACTCAAATTAGCTTGTTTTTTTCTCTGTATTCAATCAGAAACCTCACATCTCAATCATCAACTCTTAAAAGTTTCCAAAGCTCTCTAATTTCTACTACTCCGAATTATTTTATTTTGGACGATCTAATTCAAATCAGGTTTACTCCTATCTTTCAATGGACATGACCATTGAATTAGTGTTACTGTCAGTGTCTGTTAGTACCTTGACTTGGAGACACCTAACTAGTTTAGCACAGTAATCGCACGCCTCTCAAATTCACATATCAGTTATTTGCAAGTTACTATTTTACAATTTTATCCGTTCTTAGATGTGAAAATTTTTATTTACAAGGGCTACACCTCCTCATAATACTCAAATTCAATTTCTTCTTGCTGCATGCTTGCCTAGAAAAAAGGTTGGTGATATAATGAAACACGTTTAGGCCCTCTAGCCACTTTTTTATGGAGTATCGTTATGATTTTGTATGAGAAATCCATATAAATTGGAATCAAAATGCTTTGGGCTTCCTACTTCGTTCGGATAAAAAATGATAACGAAGGGTGATCATGTGTGAAGTTTGTTGGGAGTTTGGGTTTGAACAGATTGACAAATAAGGTAAAATTGAGATTTTGAGGCACGTAAGATTATTTTTTTTAAAATGATATTTGCCCTCACTCGAAAAGTTTGGTAGAAGGTTCTTAAAAATCACTTTCTTGAGACAACAAATACTTTGGGATGAAGAATTACAATTAACAATATTGAAAAACTTCTAAAGAAATCTCCTTGAAGAGGTTTAATTATGAGAGAGGAGATATAAGTTATATAGAACTCTAGTGTATTTGCAAATGAAGTCTAAGACTTTATTTATAAATTTCTTGGTCTCTTTTTTCAAAAGTCGTAACTAAAGATGATATTTTTAATTCATTACTCACTAATCCGTCCATAACTAAATGAATTGAGTACCTATATTAATTAATACGAGTTCTAAATTATTTGGGTAATATGATTCATTTTAATTAAACGGGTTAATATGGATTATAAATAGGTACCCATTAAATTGAATATTTATCTTTTTATTACATAACACAAGTAATAAAATTAAATAAATATATTAATATGCCAAAAAATACACATACTATTATACCAAAAAATATACACATATATACTAATACACTAAAATATACACACACTAATAGACCACCCATGACATGCGAGTTGACCCATGAGCCACAACTCGTGCCCATGACCATGACCCACGGGTAACCAGTACCCATAATCCACGAGTCGACTCATGACCCACAAATCAACCCATAGCCCACAATTGACCCGACCCATTATGTGTGTATTTTTTTTATTCAATGTGTTTTAGTTTTTGTGTTAGTCTATGTGTGTGTATTTTTTTTGTATTAGTGTGTATTTTAGTGTATTAGTGTGTGTGTATGCTTGTATTTTGGTGTACTATTAATGTATGTGTATTAATATACTAATGTGTCTATTAAAAATTTTAATTATTTTATGAGTTTAATCACACCCGCTATAAACTCAACCCATTATAACTCATTTACTACGTGAGTGAAAAATAGATTGAATTTATTTTAACCAAATCCAATTTAACCCAACTCATAACCAACACAATCCACACATTTGCCATCTTTAATCGCAACCCTCTAAATTTGTGTATTTTTGTTAAAAGTCACACATTTTTTAAACATGTATATTTTTTTAATAGTCATAACCTTTCTATATAGATATTTTTTCTCAATGGTCCCATCTCTTCAAATAATGAATTTTATTAATAATCAAAACTATGCAAATAATGATTATTTAAAATAAATCAATTATTCAATCAAACTATAAATAAAATCTTAACAAAATTTCTCTCAGAACATGACTATAACAACTTTCATCTATCTCGAAAGCTCTCCACAGGACTCTACACATCCACTATTTTCTCATTTCTCACATGAATGCAACAAGTACGAAAAAATTACCATAAAAAAATTAGTTTCATATGATAAATATTTATTGTAAGCCATAAGTCATTATATTGTTGGTGATATAAATTAAGTTTGTAGTTGGCCCAACCTTTCAAGAACTTGACTTTTTTTCTTTTGATAATCAAAATCAGTTAACATACCGTATTTTCATCAACACTTATCTATTTAGATTAAACTATCGCCTATTTGGTTGTCAATCATTAGGCCATTAGTTTTAAATATAATAGATGAACAACAATATACACATATAAGAAATTTTGAAAAGCTTAGAGGATTGACCAAAAAAAAAAAAAAAAACTAAGGGGGAGGCATAAGAATTTTTAAAACTTGAAGAACGTATTTTAATAATTTTGAAAATCTTTGGTTTTTTTTTTTGGGGGGGAGGGGCATGACCCCTTTGGCCCCAAGCGAGCTTTGTACCTCCATGACTATCAACCTCTTTGTTTAAAAAAAGCTGTTTTGTGGTAAGAATTTGCTTTTGTGTGATAAGGATTTATTAATTTTAACAAATTTTATCTTATTTAATAATCATTTTTTATGATGCACAAAAATAGTTTTATGCACAATCAATCGATCGAGTGTATGTTGTGAAATAATTAATAATAAGAGACAAAAATTGAGTAGTTGGATCTAGAGACCTAACAACTAAAGACAACAGCGGTGGCCGAAAAATTCTATTAATGAGAGAGTGCAAGGTAGAAAGAGAGAGGGAGAGAGAGAACAAGAGTATGCTCAAGGTGAGGTGTGCGTCATCGGGCCCTAACTGAGGCGGTGAAGTGAGGGTCAATGTACTAGTTTATCGAGGATGATAGTTATAATTGAAAATGAGCATTATCTTAAATTAATGGTTATCTCGATGATTGTTCTTTCACGTGCGTTAACTTTTCCTGAACTCTTACGCTCTGAATTGGACTGAGACTGTAAGCTAAACCTGATCTGTCTTTTGATGGTTTGGACTTAACCCATGAACTAGGACGGATTGAGATTTTGTTCCCAGAAAATTGTAGATCACTCCATAATTTAATGGAACATTTTAAGGTTTTGGGTTAATCTAGTTTTGGGTCATGCCACTCGTCAAAGAACACATTGAATGATAGGGTACCCATAACCCACCCACACATGGTCAAAAGAAAAAGAGTTAACTAGTGTAGCCGATGAATTATATTATTTATGTTAATCAATCTCTTAAATTATGTTTTGTATCAATTTAACTTCTAAATTATACAATCTAACTTAACATGGTTCTTTCGTCTAAATTCGTTGTTAACTTTAACAAAAATTCTCATGTGAACTCAAGAGGTAATTCAAGTAGTAATAGGAATGAGTTGTAAATTTAGACGTCCTGAATACGAATTTTGATGATTTCTTGAGGTCAGGTCATAAGTGATTTATCCCTCATGAATACCCTAGTTCCGACGTGAATGACTTGTTTTTAATTAGACCGAAAAGAGAATCAGTCAAAGTGTGCGAAAGTTCACCTAAACACATCTAACCATCTCATGTACGCATCACGTCACGTGCACATCAGTTGACCTTTGACCTATAGCATAATCTCTAACTCATGTGATGTGCACGGAAATTTTTTTGTCAAAATTTACGAAGAATTTTAATGGAAAGGTATTGAATCAGTTTACCAAGTTCAAGAATTTAAGAGATTGTTTGGTAAGTGGGTAGGGTGGTTGTGGTTTCACAATATGGGTTTGGAAAAAATAATCAAATACACTTGTGTTGATGACTTTTTCAAAACTAGGTCTCATATGTGTATAAGTTACGTATCATACACGAATATGAATTAGATTCGTTATTGAATTCCATGGAAACAAAGGTAGACTTGGGTTTGGGGAAACCAATCTTTTGAGTTGCGGGCGGAGAAAAGTGGACGTGGGAACTCCGGTCGGGGCGTATCATAACTCAAAATCATTCCATTTAAGATGAGACAAAATAGGCAGGTATGGGCGGTCCGGTGTCCAAGCCGATTGATCAGACAATGACTAATCCCTTCACGAAAGATCATCCAAACAAACAAGCCATAATTGACACAAGAGACTTTGATTAACACAAAAGTGTGATTTAAGTAAGGCCAAATAAATAATTAATTCACTCCTCCCACTAGGGCCACTATCAGAGTCCTCAATGCCTCCACGCTGACAGCTGCAAAAACAAACCACTTCTTCTTTCAAATTCACTTTCCCCATTCTCGTCCGCAATCCCTCATACTCACAAAAAAGGGGCACTTGATTTTGATCTTTTTTACCTTCCGAAAATGTAGTTTTAATGAGTGACTTTCTCCACTTCCTAGGAATATATACAAACAGATCGTAGGCAGTTCAAAGCACAAGACAAAAATGGCTCCTTCTCTCCTTCGCCCTCAAGAAAAGGTTGGAAATCTCAGTAGTTACAAACATACTGATTCTCTCTCTCTTGTATGAATTGATATTGAGATATATATATCTGACACATACACATAATATCGCGATTTCAGTAATCCTTCGATTCATTGTGTATTTTCTAGGGGCTTGCTTTGTGTTTTGTTCTCTGTTTGTGGAGTCGTTTGACTATCAGATTACCTCTTGTTTTAGTGTTAGGGTTTTCATCTCTCTTAGGGTTTCAATCTATCTCTATTTATGCAACATACTCTATATAGCTATTCCTGGGTCTGATCGGAGTCGAACAAAGATTTCCAAGTTTTACTGAATATTGAAAGATGAGGGAAAGAAGGTATGGAGGAGAAAGAGAAGATGTTAGAACCAAGACTCAGGAGCGGGAATACTCGCCTGCTCGCCCTCGTTCTCATTCTCGCCCTAGACATGAACTTGAGAGGAGAGACTATTACGACAGATATTTTGAATCTGAGAGCTTTAGGAGGACTGGGCAGGGTAGTGGGTCACGGGAAAGGAGAGATTATGATAGGCGTTTGGATGAGGGAGATAGAGATGGGGGATTCCGGAGGAGAGATTACGGTACCCATTTCAAGGGTGGAGGTACAGATGGGCTATTACTGAGATTCTGCGAGGACGGTTTGTCAGGTCCAAGGGACTCAACATCTAGAAAGTTTCAGTGGAAGCATTCTATGGAAGAAACCACAAAATCTAGTGGTGATGCGGACTATCATAGCTTGAAGTATTTGGCTAATGATTATGCTGTTGGTAGTGCTACCAGAGTCCGTGCTGAAAAGTATTATATTGATAGAAGAATCAGCCCTGAAAAGGAGTACAGTGCTGCTACAAGAGATAGTACTGAACGAAGCTATCAGGGCAGGGGATATCCCTCTATGGCTCAGTCTAGAATATTACTTGAGAGACCCATTTCTGTAGAAACTGAGGAGCCAAGAACATACTCTTCTTATCCGCTGGATGTTGATGTGGTGAAGAGTTCTGGCTGTATGGGTGACAGCTGCTTATTGCCATCACGAAGTTTGAATGTGGGTCTGGATCTTCGCAAGGATGAAGACCTTGGGTTTAGAGAATGCCTGCATTTGGGTAAACTAGTATCTGATAAGCCATCAGCCAGAAAACTATGCAAGGAAGAGGAGGATTCGATGACCTATTTAAAAGGTGACACCGATTATATGATATCATCATCTCGGTCCAAGGCTTTTGTCCCAGGATCATCGAGCCCTGCAAAGGAGAATCTTTTTGTTTCCTTCAGGGAAACCTCCCATGTTCTTTCTGGCGGTTATAAACTGAGCTCTGGAATGATTTCTAGGCATGTTGGTGATAATGGGTATGCTCAAAAATCGCATATCAGATCCCCTGTAGACCCTGCAGTGCAATTGAGTGACAAGAGAAACTACCCACGGCCATACCTTAGTTCACTTAAGGGAGCACATGGGGATTATACTTACTCTGAAGTTCGGACGGGTGAGAAAGGTGATATGAGCATGATGTGTGGTGATTTCCATGGAAAGATGGTGAAAGTTGAAGAAGAATATGGCAACAGAGATTTATTCAAAGCTAGCATTGTGAATCCTAGTTTGGACAGAATTCGAAGTAGAGAACATTTGAGTGAGAGCAGACTATTGGACCACCATCTTTTCTCACAACAGCAGCCAATTCTAGACTGTGACGATGTAAGTGGACCATTACACAAGAGAAAGCAAGATGAGGAAGTCTTGAGTACTAGAAATACTCACCTTGAGTATGAAAGCGAAGTATATCAGGACCATGGAAGCCTTCTCTTGGGAGAAGTTCATCATTATGAGACAGATGATGGTCCTTGGTCTCATGAAGAAAAATTGAAGGTGTTACCAAGTGCAGAGTTTGATCCATACTTGGAGGGCTTTGATGGTAGCTCCCAGCATAGGTCAAGTGCAGGGGAACTGGGCTTTCAAGTATCTGAGAAGATGCTTAAAAGAAAGTATGCCATGGATACGAATACCAAGCAAAATTTTGAAAGCTACCGGAAGAATGCTCTTATGATCCATGATCAGGGGAATGGCGAAGATTTCTTTTTGTCAAAGAAGTCAAGCGTGAGCCACTCCCAATATAGGAAGACTGGAAGGACATATAATGAGATGGCCACTCAAATGATTTCTAACCATGGAAATTTGTCAGTATCTATGCCACGGCTTCTAAGAAAATCCCACAAATCCATAGGTAGAGATATAAAAAAGCGCTTGGGACCAGTTCCTCCAAAGGTTCATGTTACACATCCTTTAGTGAAAAAGACCAAACAATCAGTGAAGAAACGGTTGGGACCTGCTCCTCTGAAGGTTCATCGTCCACTCCCTTGGCTAAATAATTTTGAACCTTACAAGTTGCCAAGAATTCAAGATGGTTCTGATGGAAATCTTCATGATCAAGGGGGTGACCCCTCTGAAGGTAATGCCACTCCTGCAAAAACTGAGCCACCTGAAAACTCTGAGGACTTTAAGCATATGGTGCATAGTGCCTTTTTCAAGTTTGTGAAGCAGTTGCACGACAATATTGGTCAAAGGAGAAGACTAATGGAGCAAGGAAAAGCTGGTAGTTTAAGGTGCAGCATATGTGGCAGGTTTGTCTTCTACATCACGACATGTTTTCATAGATGCAGCAATTTTTTCTGACATTGTTTGATTGCATTTATTCTTACTCTTTGTGCTGCAATCGAGTAAGCACCCTTTAACAGATTTTGCTTCATTCGTTACATGATAAGTTACCCAGCTAAGGTTTGTATTAAATTAGATTTCTAGCTGCCTGCAGTTTGGAAAGCTTTGAGATTCACTGAGTATTTTTTATTTGGGGAGTATATGGAGTGGATTATTCCCATGGAATGGGAAGTTGGTGAAGAAACTAATGGCTAAAACTTTCCAAGCTCTCTGTACTGCAACAGAAGATGTGGAAGCTTCCTGGCAGCAGCTTGGTACATGCTTCAATTATATTTTGTTGTGTTTCCAATACTCTTCTTATGGTTGACAGCTGCCAATTGCCCCAGCGGATGTTGGATGAACTTTAGTTTTTTTTTTTTTTTTTTGGGAGTAAAAATTGAAATTAGTTACAATACTCGTAGAACATTGGTTAGAAGGATTGATAAGATGAGAGGAAGAAGTCCAAGAGAGAAAGCTAATTCCGCTTTATGCTTGATCGTGGGGAAAAGGAAAAGAAGGGTCATGGTTCAACATCGTGATATCGAGCATCAACTCAAAGGATGGTACGACACATCGGTTTCGGCATCATAGAACGATATCAGCTGATTTGAAGACAATGCCCTGGCCAATTCATGATTGTCTCATGTGAGACTAGTGGTTTACAAGGAATAGAACTTTGTCAGAACAAAATGTATCAAGTCAGATACGACTGGGCCGAGTTGTATTATGTTGGCCAATACTATGAACCATGAGGAAAGGTGGCAAGGGTATCATGGTAGTGGTGGTGGTCTTGGCAGGATGGTGGTGTTGGCGACAGGGTGGCAATGATGGGTTGGGACCAAACAGGGAGGGCTGAGGAAAGGTGAAATGATAAAGCAAATTATTGGGATGCATAATGAAGTTTTCCTTTTAATTTCTTCATTCAAACTAGTAGCCTTTCGTCAACTGTTAAATGAACAAAACAGCTTTCTTTCGCAGTTTTTTTCTTTGCCTAAACTTCCCAGGTGCCTATTGCAGTTTTAATTAGCTGAGCTCCATTGGTTACCAGAGTTGGTGTTTGGTAGCCTGTGGCTGGAATTTTATGTTCTTGCTTTGACAGATATTCTCTGATATCTGCAGTTGCTGGGAAGGTTGTGCTTGTTTGATGCTTCTGATTAGTGATTCTATTTGTTTGTTGGAGTGTTGGAGCTACCTTCACTAACATTTTGTGTGGATGAACGATTAAGGATCATGGTATTAGCCATCGACTTGGAGCACTCTAAGATGCATTGGTAGTAGAGTTGCGGAACGTTATTGCACCCAAAAGAAGTAGTTGAACAATACAAGTGATTTAGGATATATCGTGGCGTCGCAGAATGTTGTTGGCCTACTCGGTGACGATAACTCGGCGACTTGGGGTTGACCCGAAGACATGTTACGCGAGACTTTGGGTTTAAGCGTGTAACATCCAATGCTATTGGCTCGGAAGGTGCCGAGTTGGATGTGACTCGGTCGACTCGTATTGGTGTCGGTAGATACCTTTGACCTTGCTTCCCCCAAAGCTCATTTCTTGAAAGAAAATGTCTTTTTGGCAATTCCTAATGACAAGAATATCATTTGCACTTCTCTCTATCTGCCCCTCTCCTCCTCCTCCTCCCACAACGCCCAAAACCTCCTCTTGATTTTTCTCCAGTCGTGCATGGTGAATATTCCTACTTGGGATTTTAGTTGTGTTTAGCCTTAATGTTTCAGTAACTTCAGTAGTCCTATTCTTTTATATTTTCTAGGCTATCTAAATTTTCAGTAGTCCTTCGGTAATCTTTTTGACATTTTTCCAGTTTCTTTTGTACTTTGTCATACTTTTGGAGAATGCTAGTCATATATGAGATAGCACTGGACATTAGGTAATGCATGATTTGCAATCTAGAGACATGCCTACATTTGCTGTCTGTAAAAATATAACGGGCCTTTGAATTGTGGATACGTGAAGTTATAGGCTTTGTTAATCTCTGATTTCCAACCCATTGTCCTAGAAGTGATGCTTCTGTTGTTCATCCCACTTGCTTTTTGTTTTGTATTCCATCCCTTATGATTATTTTGCCTTACCTGTCAGTGACTCCAAAGAGTTTGTAGACACACAGAGCTTGGTGAGGCATGCCTTCATGTCTCCGAAAGTTGGGTTCAGATCGCAGCACTTGGGTTTTCACAAAGCACTTTGTGCACTAATGGGATGGAAAAGTGCAGCGGCCCCCAACAATCCCTGGGTTTGTGAGATACTGTCTGATGCTGAAACCTTAGCTGTAAAGGAGGATCTCATTATTTGGCCCCCAGTTGTGATCATTCATAACAGTTCCATAGGAAACTATAAACCAGATGACCGAGTTGTTGTATCCATTGAAGTGCTTGAGGCTATACTCAAAGGTAAGAGTTTGTGTGGATGATTAGAACTATCATTTTTTGCTTTTTTTTAAGTTTTCCGGTTGATATGGATGTGAAATATATTCCATTTTCTTTTAAATCTCAACGGAAACGTGCTCTGTTTTCTGTTCAAGATTTATTCTAAAATATAATAACTCCAAATAATATTATTGAAATCTTGTCCATACATTTGGTGTGTGATAGTTTCATGATAAATACCCCCAGTGCATTCCAAATTTTCACTGCGTCCTTACATTACCAATTCAATGCAAACCAAGATTATATATATAATCAGGATGTTCACTATTGGATACGGCACTTGCCATTGGCTGATTTCACATGTCATCATGTCAAAAGTGACTTGCCTAGCCAAATGAAAAAGGTCAAAAGCGGATGTGAAGCAGTGTCAGAGCATACCTTTCCTTAATCTAGCTGACTAAAAGTTGTAAGAATAAAGCTTTTTAAGGTTTTTGATTAAGACAAGTCTTGTTTCTCTGATCGGTGGTTTACCATAACTGTTTCTCATTTTCTTCGACCTCTGGTTAATTTCAGAGCTGGACCTCGGGGAAAGGACAAAGGTGTGCCGTGGGAAACCTGCAAATCAGAGTATTATGGTGGTGAGATTCAGCAGCACCTTTTCTGGGTTGCAAGAGGCAGATAGGCTTCACAAGTTCTATGCTGAAACTAAACATGGACGGGTTGAGTTTCAACAGATCAATGCAACTAGTAGCACCGACAGTAGTGGGGAAACACAAAAAGCAACAGCAGACAAGGTGGAAAATGTTTTATATGGGTACCTGGGGACTGCCGGAGACTTGGATAAACTTGATTTCAAGACCAAGAAACGATGCTTGGTCAAGAGCAAGAAGGAGATCCATGATATTGCAGATGCATCTCTTAAAACTTAAATGAGATACTCTTAGTTGTTGACAGTGACGAATTTTACTGACAGGTGGTGGTTTGGTTTTTGCATTTGCTGAAAGAGGAAAATCAGATACGGGGTTTAAGTTATATTATCTATTACGGATTATTCAAGTGGATACAAGTTTTTGAAGTTTAAAGCACCTAATTTTATCATGAACTGAACATTATTTAGTTGCCAGCCTTGAGTGAAGGTGACAAGTCTTGGCCATATATCTTCTATAATTGTGCATATAACCATATTATCTATATTGGTTATCCTTTGATTCCAAGTTATGGAATGATTTACAACTATCCCGGATAACTCGCTCAAGGTGTTGAAGACAGTTTACATTACATTTATTTTATACCTTATATAGTTGGGTAAATGTTTTTTTTAAGGGTGTTATGCCATTCGTAAAACTCGAATATGTGATATGTTGAAGTGTAATAACAATAAAATGAATTAGATTTGAAGTACCTGGGAGCTAGCAAAATGAGTTTCGACCAAGTGATGCACATCTTCATGTATTATTTAGGCTTCCAAGTTTCGAAGATAAATATCATGTAGAACCGCACCCGCACCCGCACCCACAGACATTTTATTTCATGGATGTTAAGTTTTGCTGGGTAAGCTATGCAAGCCAGCAATTCTTGATTGCATCACTGTCATCCAAGTGAAGTTCTTTACATTTTATTTAGATCATTAGAAAGTTTCTGGACGTCATTCTTTTGTAACAAGAAGTAAAAGAGAAATACTTGTGATGCAGCTCTTTTTATGTTTATTCTGGATTCCTTTTTTTTTTTTTTTCCATACACCAATATCGTAAATGGACAAGCCAGCTTTGTATTTATGGAAACTGAGTTCTCTCTATTATATAGAATCACTTCAACAAAATTCATACAAAAAGAATAATTTTACATAACCACGAACAACAAATCAAGCAAAATAAAATTACAGGTGAAAAATGTATAGAGAAATAAAACAGAGAGGTAACAGGTTTTTTTTTCTCCTCTCACTAACACAAACTGCGTGTACCGTGTACAAATCTAGCTATTGGAAGATGCTCCACTGCGAAATGCAGTTTCTCATCATCTTCTTTGGAAGTTCAGGAACTTGATGCCATAGGCAAAGACGAAGAAGAAGAGGACCACCCAACCAACGTGGGCACAAACTATTGGTATAAGGAAGTCATGATCAAAACCCAAACTGTCTTTAAGAAAATTGTTCACCGGCACTATGTCTCCACCGGTGAGCGTGAGGTTACCTGTTCGGTCACCCACTTGAGAAGCAAAGACACCATAGACTGTCCATGCAACTGGAGAAGCCCAGTAGTACCACCTCCACCATATTGGGATAAGCTGCAAAACATTTGAGCATCTTCATTAAAATTATGTTGTATATATGATTTCAAGTAAAAGACATGCAGTTTGGCCACAATCATCGAATCAGCTTAAAAGTCTTAATTCTGCTGTGCAACTTTTATCGAAAAGCTCATTTACAAAACTCTGTGGACCAAGATGGAAGCAGCAATATCATAAAAGTTAAGCACAACTTATACAACATTATGGAAAGACTATTCATCAAATTCTTCCTGATTCTTGTCATTGCTGCTCGTTATTTTATGGATAATCGCAGTCCCACGCTCAACCCCAAACATAGCAAAAAAAGGGGCAAAACTAGACAGTTTTCTGTACAAATATAACTAAGAAGATGACTCTCAGGGTTTATGCCACATACCGGTCTGGCGATGAGGAAACCTGCGAACAAGTTCCAGAAGCTCACAAAGAAGTTCATGACAATAGCAGCAATCTGACTGCCAGGAGTCAGGGCGACAACCATCATTCCATACATTGAGAAGTAGGTATAACACATAAAGATGAAGTAATAGAAATACAAGAACTTCTCAGTTGTCCAGTGAAACCCAATCATCGAGTACAGAAGCAGCACATAGAAAAATGTCTGAATTGCAACATAAATAGTCTCAATGGCCACCTGAAACGGAAAAAACAGAGAGTCATTAGAAGTGTTCCCATAGAAATCACTCGGTGGAAGTGAGATAAATGATACACACACAAATGCTTATCTATTGAAAAATTCAGAAGTATATTCTGTCTTTTACCTGGGCAAATGCATAGGGCAACTCTGAATACATTCCTGCAGCTCTTTCACGATAGAAAACTGTTCTCTCAACTGATACAACAGATTGCACTGCAGAAGCATTGGTGGCTCCTAGGAAAAAGACAGCTGAATAGGTTGCTCCCAGCAGATTAATCAGGTCTTGCTGTCTATATCTGTTTCCGATATATACATATGCAGTTCATGTTAGTATCAGTTTCAGTTTATAAAAGCAAAAATGTTTTCTGCAGATCTGAGCACTGGCATTTTGGTAGTTTGTAAAGGAAAAAACGAATATTTTTGACTTACATCTGATCTCCTTTATTCCAGAAGATGACACCGAATATGAGGCCAATGATGATTGTCATGAAGAATCTGATAGCGTTGTACTGTGAGTTCCGCCAATAGGACCAGTGTTGTTTCCAGAAACAAGCCTTGCATTGAGTTATAAAGGACTGGGAGTATTGGGTGGGGAAGTAGAGATCTTTGGAACCCGGTGCAGGAATGCTTAGCTCCTTTATAAGCTCCTGATTTCTCCTGGAAAACAAAATTCAAGGTTGGTTTAGTAAAGAGATTGTGGGATAAAAAGTAACATCAAGGCCACAATTTTGTCTATCAGTTACCGATAGAGGTCCGAATTGGCAAAAATTTCTGCAAAGTCCACATCAAGTTGAGCCTCAACTGCAGAAGCGCTGACCTCCAACATCCAGGTAGCTGGATTGTAACCATCTTGAATCTTGGTAACGCCAGGGACAGCCTGCAAGAGGAATTAGATATTAATAAAATTTGAATTCCCAAAATCTGAAATTTTTAGTAAACTTTAGATATGATATAACATGTTTGAGGACACTTCAGCTTCTGATCGAAGCAAACATTCAAGGAATCGATGTTTATGGATGTAGCAGTCAGAATTTTATGCTAAATAGGTTTCCATTATCCATGGAAAAACTTACAGTTGTATAATATCATAGAATTCAAAAGATGGATAGAGATCATCATCAAGGGGATTATATTTCCCTTACTATTCAAGGGAGCATCTGAATGCTGATGTCTGAGAAACTATGCTTACTTCAAGCAAGAAGTTTGACTTGATATAGCAGCAGAAAGGATGTAGATGATTTGATTGCAAGATAGTATGGCATCAAGCACGCATAGACAAAAAGGAAACTCACCTCAAAATATTCAACAAGCTTGTGAGAATGGTGGCCAAGTGGTCCGCCATAAATCACTTGTCCTCCTCTCTTCATCAACAGCAGCTGCAAGACAAAAAATGTAATGTCAAAAATTGAACCAAGTGAGGGTGACGTCCTCATATGCAGAAACTATTCAATTGAACCATACCTCATCGAAAGCTTCAAAAATATCTATGCTTGGTTGGTGAATAGTGCAGACCACAGTTCGACCCGTATCCACCGTGTTTCTCACAGTACGCATGACAATTGCAGCAGCTCTAGCATCAAGCCCTGATGTAGGCTCATCCATAAAGATAATGGAGGGATTAGCAACCAATTCAACAGCAATGGTTAACCTCTTTCTCTGTTCAGTTGACAGACCATCTACTCCTGGAAGTCCGACTAAAGCATTCCTCAAGGGATTAAGTTCAACTAATTCCATGACCTCCTCAACAAACATCTGCAGTAAGCAATACATGTCAAACAATAATTCCCATGTTCAATTTTTGTATGCATGAGAGAAATTAATAATTTTTCTGATTCAGTTACATGCCTTTCGTGTTTCTGTCTTCACATCTGAAGCAAGACGCAGCCAGGCGGAGTACAATAGAGATTCATAGACAGTGACATATGGTGAGTGAATATCATTTTGTTCACAGTAACCACTGACTCGGGCGAAAGTTTCTTGATTCTTTGGGTAACCCGAGATGCTTATGCTTCCTTCAATATAACCACCAGTCTTTCTACCAGCTAACACGTCCATCAAGGTGGTCTTTCCAGCACCACTGACACCGACTAATGCTGTCAGAATCCCTGGTCTAAACGCACCACTAACATCTCGTAGCAGTTGCAGTCTGTCTTCTTCAACCCCTTGAGTCCTCATCTCCTGATGTAAAACAGCATTTACAAGTTAGCAGAAGTTTCTTGGACTGAAGACCTATAGTTAACAGCATATAAATTCATGCCAGATATATAAATTAAATGAACACTTGAGCATATAATTCTGACTGTCACAGTTTTTCATTCTTGGACATCTTTTTCTGTAGGTTTTATATAAACTTGCATTAACAGAGACTCACAGCAGGCATATCCACATAGTAATTCACATGGTTGAATGCAAGTGAGAGTGGCTGGAAGGGCAAAACCATTCCTCTTCTTGATTCATTGTTTGCTGCACCAGTTGAGCTTCCTTCAGGATTTCTCACAGCCATTTGAATACCTGTAATTGTAGGTATAAATTGAATGAGCAAAACAATAACATAGAAAAAGTTTACCATTTACATGCAAGCTATTCAATGGCACATGGGCATAAAATGAATTAGCTTCCCCCTTGAAGAACACTGCAAATATTAGGATGTTTCAAGGATGAATATTTTCATTTGAAAGCTTGTTAATATTCCAAATCATGTCAGCACTTAACAGGAGTGCCTCAAGTAACTCCAGGTTTTAACACTTTTCTAATGAGTAGCAAATGCAATACATAGTTCCCTTGTGAGAAATCCAATTCTTGTAGCTTCGCTTATGTCGTATCTGTCTACGACCCTCCCTTGAACTTGTTTTCTTGTTCTGATTGTTATCTACAGTTATTACTTATTTGGCCTAGGATTACTTGATTTACTTCCCAAATCTGCAGCATGTATGCCATCAAGCAAGAAAAACAGAACAAAGAGTCTAAACAAGAAGCAAACTAAACAAACGACAAACCTTGAGCATTTGAAGCCATTCGCTGCTTATTCTTATCTTCATTATCCTCCTCTGTAATAACAGCTTTTGAATCTCCCAGAGCTGAGATTGAATTTAACATAACAAAGTTAAAATATGTAACGGGCTACCATTTATCTCAGCATAAATGCAAAACATCAAGTGGGGCATTAAAAACTTACGATTTAAATACGTCAGTGCTAGGATGAAGAGAACATTGAAAAGAAGAGAAAATCCCGCAAGTGCTGCAACGCTAATCCAGTACCAATATTCGTCTGTAAACATGCCTCTGTCACCTAAAACAATCTTTCCAACTGTAGTGCTATTCACGGGCTGTGCCAATTAAAAATTAAAGTAACAAATAAGTAAAGAAAACAATTAAGCTCGTATGATGGCTTTTCAAAATTGAAATGTTGGGAG